AAAATTGGGTTTTTGATCGTCCGTTATTTTATTTCCAAAATAGTAAGGCCATATTTTAATGGCTATGAGGACTCTCTCGCCAATCCGATGGATACAATTAAACCATTAGAATCATAATCGGTACTCTAATTTTCTTTAGAGTATGCTGCATAAAATGCCTTCTGGGCCGTGACAGACGGACATAAATTGAGATAAGACATTTTTCAACTTCTTCAATGTATAAAACATAAATAACCCAATATATGTATAATTCTGAGCAATGTACAGACAAAACTATAACTTAATTTATATAGATTAACTGGGTTTGAATTTTATATATCTAAAAAAAAATTAATAAAACTTCTTTTATAAGTTTAAAAATAGTGCTGGGCGGGGGAATAGTGTTTCTCATTTGTTGTGTACATCATTTATGGTTGTGGGGGGGGGGGGCTGTTGCTCAATTGGGGGGGGGGGGTGCGTCATGAGTCTAGGGGGGGATGGGCACCCCTGAATATACAATAATAATGAAGTGATAATAAAATTCCCAAAAAAAAACACAGCTAAGTTTTTGGTTTTTATTGTAAAATAAAACAGTGCACTAAGGGAGTAGAAAATATAAAGGCTAGAAACAACTATGTATTATAAACTATTTGGCAATTTCCTGAGCCGTCCATATATTACTCATGCTTAAGTTTGATTTAAGACGGAAATAGCTAGCTCATTTCCTGAATCGTCTTTATGCTATTACTCTAGTGATTCAAAGAATTGGCTGCAATACATTTTGTTTAACTTAATATCTCAACAATAAGAATTCAATTCTAGGAAGGTCACTATCCCATCAGTTGCCCTCTCAGTAACGGAAGTGTTTCCTCCTCAAAGCCATTGCCCTTTGCACCCCTCCCCCACCGGGGCACCAAAGTCATCCTCTTCTCTTACCCACGGGTTAGGTACTTTTTGGGGAGAGAGGTATTCTTGGGGGGAAAGCTAGTTGGTGTGCGAACTGAAGCCTAATGAAGCGTAAAAGGGTTCGACCCCGGATTAGGGCCAGAGCTCGCCAGGCTTCCGTTTCCCGATTAAAGTTGCTTTCGACTTTCGACACCTGCTCTCTCGATGGTTTCAACACACAAAAATATGTCGAATTGTGTTGATAAGTGGTTATATGCTCTCTTCCAATTACGAAAGTCGCTAGTTCGATTCGAATCTAGATCGATTCTACTAGAACACCAATTAATGTTGCACAGTAGGTCTGTAAGAAAATGCCAACGTTGGATAGTAACTAAACCTGGATTGATACCGTCCTAAACAACATTTAAAAATGCCAATGTGTTTGAAACACTTTCTGTACAACTTGTTTTCCTTTTGCGGTTCCAACTTGAACATTTTCTTGGATGACAATCGATTATGTATGCCACTAAAGGTGTGTTTTGTTGTTGCGACGTTCAACTGTTGTGTGAAGGTAATGCCAATTGACGTTTCAAGAGACAAACATGTTTACTACTTCGCTCATTGACTTGGCGATGTTTGTGTTTACTCAGGTCGCGACATCTCTACGTTATCAACTCATCAGTGAATAGTGAAGAGGTGTGTCTGTTATCAACAGCTGATTGACATTGTGACGTCACACCCAAGGTCAAGGACCGCCACTACGACGCCACTTGAACCATCCATTGAGGCTGCGATCCTGTAACGAGTTCAACAATGCAAATGGATCGCGTATATGTAAGAAATACAGAAGTGGGGTCTTCCGTTATTTGACGCCAGTAAGGTATTTACAAGCTATTGGAATTGTAAAAGAGACAGTATTTTGTTTGCAATAGTAGGCCTACTTATATGAGATAAAATTAGTATAGGTACAAAAGATACGAAACCCTTTTTGTCATAAGTTTAAAAACAGCGATTCCAAATTATTTTAGTTTCCTGGGCTCAAAAACGCACACAGCACGAGAAAAGGTGAAGGGAAGAAAATACTCATAGCTTCTCTCGTCATAAACTATAACCAAATATTATATGCAAACCAATACATAATAAAGTCGTGATATGAGCAAGGTTTTTGACACTTCTATCTTGATACGATTTAGTGTTGGGGAAGCTACTTTTAAAATGTAGCTAGCTACAACTACTGCTACATATTTCCAAAAAAGTAGCTTAGCTACAGCTACAGCTACAGTTCCGAAAAAGTAGCTAGCTACAACTACAGCTACAATAAAATGTAGCTACAGCTACAATTTTAGCTACTTTCCCAAAGACGTTACTTTTTATTCCATGCACATTAGGTAAATGTAAAATTAGTTGCAACAACATTTTTATTGAACAAACATTTAAACAAGAAATGTCAGTACCTATTCTAACATTACTAATTATGTGAGTTATGTAGTTATATAAGTTCTAACATTACTTGGAAAACAAATTATTCCTAGATTTTATTTAATTTGTTGGCGTTATAAACCTAACATTAGAACAACAGCATCAAATAGTTGGGCGTCCCATCATATTTAGTACTTATTTTTAAATATTGCATTATTTTTAAGCATCTTATATGTAAGTTTTATTAAGTTCAAAGGACATACAGTACAACCAAACTATATTTTAAAAGCTCATTTTATTTCTTTAATATAGATTCATTTATAGATGTCTTATATCAACAATTAAAGACCACTTAAACTGTAAAACGATTATTTAAAAATACTTTTTTGTGTTACAGAGCCTAGCCTATTGAAATTGGAGTTTATTGCCTTTCTTTACTTTTAATGTTAAAAACAACATTGCTATAACTTTTAACCATAGTGATAAGTTACTTGTTCTATGAATAACACTTTTCAATGTCAAGAAATCGTCCTTTATTGTCATCATGCATAGGGCAAATTGTGCTTCAACCTAGTTGGTACAGAAAACAGTATTCAGCAACTTATCCTGAAATCGGTTTTTAATTTAAACATGTTGAAATTTGTAAAGTAAACATAACATGTAGGCCTACCTGGCTGTGTAACAAGTTGGCTATAGTAGCTTTGTTCTTGCAAGGACTAAACAGATACATTCCTAATAATTGAACTTGGTATTCGTGTTAAACCATAGCATAGCCTAGGAATAGTCCAATACAAGAGCTGATAGCAGGAGCAAACTATGCTATTTTTTAAATGTAAGTTTCATGTTATATGGAGATTTTTTCGTTACAATTATCATGTAGTCTAGGCATATCTTAAATCTCATCAGGTAATTTCCTCTTTGTCAATTTAGTAAACCTTTGAAAAATCTTTGTAATCTAACCAAGGAAGGGCTTATGACGATGAACCACAATCAACAGCTGAAGCAAAGGTTGATATACCAGCTTTCTCATTATTTTAAGGTTTAGTGTTGGTTTCCATTAAAACCCTAGTTAAAACACTATCGATAGGCCTATATAACAAAGAAACTAAATTGATTACTATTTTCCCTGTCAATCACTTGCAAGCATTTAATAGCTTGTCTTGTCACTGGTACCGGTAACGTTTAAACGTCGTCTGCAACTAGCTATTTTATTTTATCTGACAGTAATCATAGAGTAGTAAGTTAAGGAAACGAGAGCTAAAAATGTGGATAACACTAATTTGATGGCCTCCATGTCCACACAACGTTGTAATAGGGAATGAAACGGCTGCAACCAGCTGTATGAAGCCAAGAAAGTAGGCCTGATTGTTTTGAAAATCTCAGTTTGAAAGATGTTGTTTCACGTAAGGTTGAGGTTATGGTAAAAATCACTATCTCAAACAATGTTAATGTAGCGAGAAAAGTAGCTAAAATTCCGCTACAACTACTTTAAAAATGTAGCTAGCTACAGCTAAAGCTACAAAATCTTAAAAGTAGCGACGCTACAGCTAACGCTACAAAAAAAGTAGCGCGCTACTGTAGCGTCGCTACTTGTAGCGCGCTACTTCCCAACACTGAACTAATAACATTGCAACTATTTTTTGGTAAACTTAACCATGTGATGAAATTGCCACATTACATGTTAATGGCGTTGATGGTATGATGTGTAATAGAGTAACACTTAACTGTAACAATAATGGAAAAATTGTTACTAGGCCTATCGTTTTAACCAAGGTTAAGTTATCTGTTATCGAATTTCGAGGTTAAAAAATAATCCGTTTGTTTACATGTAATTAAAAATGCTTCCTCTTGCAATTTAGCTAAGTTATCTCCAGTCCCTGACAAAAAAAATTATAAATGAGCAACTTGCATCATCTGATTCTGATATATGCCCTTGGATATGATGTGAACTTTTATCGTGCTCGAGTTATTTATTGAAATTATGGAATTAAAGCAAGGTAAAATCAAATGTGGAACTAAACAAATTTTTCATTTGTTTTGTATCATTTTTCGCTATAGTACCATTATATTTAGACACAACAACTTTTAATATGATTTGAAATTTTTACAATATTGTATAACACTGATTAAATTAGATTAGATTTTTAAGACGCTGACACACCATAAAGACGCAGGCGAAGATGAATGTTGATAGCATAATAGATCGGCTTCTTCTGTAGTCATCGTCTTTTTTATACATTTTCCTAAGCTCCCTCCTTTCGTATCGTTCATTTGCAATGTTAATTGAAATTTTGAATAAGAGTATTTTAACTGATTGGACAAAAATGTGCAAAAATTCCAAGATATGTTATTAGTTTAAAAAGTGTCAAATATGTAGTTTTATTTTTTTACAAAATTAAAAGCTGTTATAAGTTAATTCCAGGATTCTACTGACATTGCGTGACACCAGCCTATAACATATAAAAGTGTAGCAATTAAAATTATTTCGAAGTATTCTGGCTGACAAAAGGGTAACAATGAAACATGAAATATCCCACTTTCACTAACTACAATGAGTGTTTGTTTGTTCACAACTGCCGCAATAGATGTCGCTTGCGGCGCTTCGGTGTAGTGGTGGGGGGCAGCAGAAACCACACCACTGCCACTAGTGCGGTAGTGCCACTGCGATCGACCAATAGGAAGTGAGGAGGGAGAACGGTTAGTTTAGTTAGTTAGTTTGCGCTGCGACGTCAGATGAGTGTTTTCTCGAGCTCGTCCGTAGTAAATCTATAACGCGAATATTGTTTCGTTATCTATGTAGATAAGCTGAACAAAACTAGTCGCGTGAAGGTTTACTAGTCAGTCGAGAGGAAGGAGCCGTACGTAGTTCAGTAGACACTTCGCTTAGTGAACGGAAGTGTTTGCTGAAATTGCGTTATTTGGCGAAACCGTTAAAATAACCTAGCTTACAAGTGGTTGGTTTTTACTGCAATCGTCGTCAAACGCGAGTGAATTTAGCATGGCTATCCCTCAGTGTCCAATTACTCAAACAATGTCAAGTGAGAGTTTAGTGAATCGTAGAATGAATAGGAAAATGAACTTGTCGTTCGCGGGATGTGGGTTTCTCGGCATATATCACGTCGGAGTTGCAGTGTGCTTCAAGAAATATGCTCCTCACCTTCTGCTGAACAGAATATCTGGTGCATCTGCTGGTGGAATCGCTGCCTGTTTTCTACTGTGCGATTTGCCAATCAGTAAGTAAACATAACCTCTCAACGTTACTTATCCGACAACGACCAACGACGCCAGTAGGTCAGTCGTTCCAGCTGTCCAGATACAATCAGCTGATTCGTTTATATTCAAGGTCGTAGGCCTGAAAACCTGGTCAAGGCCAAATGCCTACCTGTGATAAATAAAGAGGAAAGCGTTTATTATCACTCCCATATATAACACAATCCTCACTACATAGCTCATTCATTATCATAGTTTGGAAAAATTACAATAGGCCTATTTATACAAAGATGATAATTTATCTATCAAGTTACCGGTACAGTACTGTAGTAGGCTATAGATTTATCTACAAGATGATAACGATTTTACCGTTGATTTATCAATGGAATAGGCTAGGCTTACATTAATTATAACCTTCATATTCAATTTATTACTGTATCATTTATCATTACAACATTACAACAATAATTGAGGTGGGGTCGGGTTCTTGAATCGCTCTTGCGTATTTTAACCCAAATATGAGTGAAGGATAAGTGTAGAATCGTAGAATGGTCTGAGATGATATTTGTAGCTTTGTTAAGTTACTGACTTAGATCAGAGCTGTTTTATGTTTCATCAGTCAGGATAATTTATTTAGAACCCAATGATCAGGGACAGCTGTGTGGGTCCAGATTCGTATTTAGTATCATCAAAAAGCTCCGGCCTACTGACTTTTCTCAGGACAACCTTTGACGACGAACTTATTTCATTTCAAATCGAAATTCCATTTAGGCTATGTTATTATAAATAACCTATACCGGTAGCCTACAATCTGAATATAATACCATAACTTAGCCATAGATTAAACATTATCTCTTGCTATGGTTAGAATAGATAGGGTATTCCACTGATTTGCCTACTATAGTAAAACGACACGATGAGTGTTTTTAAGTTTAGCAAATAGCTGATGTACATAAGTCATTTTACTTCTTGAATACTATGCACAATCGCACAATTAGAGATGAACAGTCAATCTCATCGACCCTTGTTAGAAGTTCTCTGTATACTATCATTGACTATTATACCTACTGTAGGTATATATAGTCAATTATACTATCTACTGCCTGCCTTTTAGGCCTAAATCATATGTTGTATTAATTAATTATTGTTAATTACTCTATTGGCATTTCTTATTTGTTTACATTTTATCAGTTCTTTGAAAACCATGTTCATAAACCATCTCTTGAATTTTATCTTTTTTATGGACAAATCTTTTCAATATTACTTACTATCATTAACAGTCCTGGTTATGTATATCGGATTCTTGTATGTCATAAAATTGATTATATGCCAATATATTTTGTGACAGTTCTTTATCAAGCAAACGATAAGTCTATAATGATTAAGTCCTCTTAGAACTGGCCAACTAATCTTGACCGATTAGTTTTGCATGTTTATTTTCTGACAATATCCCTGCTCCGTGGATTCCTCGTAGTACCAACTTTCTCCTGGCCGTTCTTAGCTGTTTTCCAGATGAGATTATCGTGTTATCAGCTGTGTGATAACAGTATCTGATATAGCAGGAAGCCATGTTTGGCCACGTGACCTCAGACGTAGGACCGTCACGCGTCTGACAATGGCTTCTGTTACACGACCTTGTATTGAGCATCTCTCATCTCACATGTCGGATATACAGAACGCATTAGGCCGAGTATATTTTTGGGTTTCCATACTCTAAAGCTAGGCGCCCACCGGGCAACTCAGCGGGTGACGCGGCGCGGCCGACGCCGTGGAAAAAAGTTGCCACGTATCCGTGCCATGTTATCTTATGGACTGACGCCCACCTAGCAACCCAGCGGGTGGCGCAACGCGGCGCGGAAAAAAAACTTCTTCTCGAATCCGGCAGTGAGAATTCGGTGGAGAATTTCTTCCTCTCGTGTTGCGGCGCCTCCGTTGAGTTGCCTGGTGGGCGCGGGGTAGAGGCACGGAAACGGCGTCTGCCCCTCGTCTGCCGCTCATTCGGGTGTTTTCGGAAAGTATCGTGAGCCCTTCGGGAGTGTTCGGGTCCGAATCGAAGTGCACTGTGCATCCCCTCCAAAAGAATAATTCTCCGCGCTGCCCCGCGCTTCCGCTAGAGTTGCTTGGTGGGCGCGAACCCTGGAGAAGCGGACGGAAGTTTTTCTCCGCGTCGCGCCGTGCCGCGCCGCGCCGCGTCACCCGCTGGGTTGCCCGGTGGGCGCCTAGCTTAACAGTTCATTTGCTACTCAGGAGATTCGGTTTCGTAGACATTGGCATGGTACTTTTTGGCTTAAAACTTAAAACGGATTCCACTATAAACTGTAGGTCCCTTAGTTACCATTAGCTGTATGGGCTATTAATTAACAGCTGTGTCTAAGGAACATGTCACTACAATATTAGTCGGCCTTAGTCACTAACAAGACTACAAGATCGCGCCACTCATCCTGCACTCATATTTGGGTTAAAATATGCACATAGTGGCGTCCCCATCTTAAACAATTGATTAATTGATTGATTGATTGGATCGGAAAATAACGCATGATTATTTTTTTAATTGAAATGTCAAAACATCGATGTGTATTAATATAAACGAGAGGTCGTCCAGTGGTCGAAACTCGACCAAAAATACGTAATGTACTCACTTATCTATTTTCACCCCACACTGTAAATAAAACATGTGATTTGAGTTTCTTCCATTTGTTTTGGTTTTCTGTTTATATTTCGTTACCAGCATGGCAACGCATAAGATCCATGTTAATATTTTCAAAATTTTAAACTCATTTTTTGTGCTTATCTTTGAGCCTATTTAAATTTATAAAGGGATTCTGCACACCTACAGAAAAATAGTTTTTTAACGGTATGCGTAGATTTTCCCTACGATGAACACGAGCTGAGAAAAAAGGTTTTAAAGAAACATGTTTGCCTATTAATATATAGATAGATAGTTACATACTATTTTTGAGTAGGATGTACACGGAACTGCAGTCTTCTCCTGAAATATTGCCATGCACCTTGTTTCATGATTTATGTTAGTAGGCATATTGTAATGTAATTGAGTAGATAAGAATCAATTAGCAAACTATCAAGATGTGTTGGGAAACGCTAATTGACTTTGTAGCACGATGTCCATGAGTGTTTCCTTGACCGCTAGGGCTTAGATAAGATCAACAGATAATACCCATGTATATAGATGAGTGTAGGGGTCCTGGCTACTGGTCGTAAATTCAGGGGCCATATTTATATAACCTAACCTAACCTAACCTAACCTAACCAAACTTCTATAAGCGGATTAGGGCCAGAGGTGGCCAGTTCTCCGTTTCCCATATAGATGATCACATGTTCGGACCACATGGGGAGTTACGTACGGTGGGCTGGTGGGCATGTGTATCGCCGATTCCAAAATCAACAGAAATCAAAGCACAAGGTTGAAGTTGGGATAAGTGTTCGCGGGAGAGCTTAACTAATTTTCAGACTGGATAGGCATTAATTAATATCCCACTAATTTGACACGCAAAATATTAACTTTTGTGCGTCGGTGGTCGGTCTCGTTTGAAGTCCTATCCATCCAAAACACAGCTTGGATTGCCGATAATTAATTTCTATTGCGCAGCACGGCCGAGGTAGAATTATAACCGAGAGTTCTAGTACCATGACCCAGGTGTGTTGACGACGAACGACTCAGCTTTCTAGAGGTCATTTGGTCAGGTGTCAGTACACGCGAGTCGATTCATGTTCAAATATCGGACAACGCAATTACGAAAAACGCTGAATACGGAGCTCGGTTCGCCTTATAACTCATGTCTTAGTCATACTTAATCTATTGTTTTCAACGACACTGTAATCGGGAATGGTATTGGTTTAGTTAGCTGTTTTGTTAGCTAAGCCCCGGTCCCCGTCGTTCAAACAATGGGAAGTAATGTGAAGTTTATGTGACTAAATAAATACAGACGAGATAAGAGAATTCTTTAGTCTTTGGTTTAAAGCTGTGCAATGGTAGAGCCTTTGCGTAGTTTAAGTTATTATGTTTGTTTAGGCCTACATCAAATTTGGCTCAGCTCGATCTTATCAATTCGTCCTTAATCGGCATTTAGATTTTGTTCTTTCATTTGCCTTATTGACGTCAATGCTATCAATCTTGTAACACATTCTCGAGGAGTCAGATAATGTTCTCTTATCTACATTTCTATTTAAATCACATCGCAAACGCAAAATAAGGTTGTTTGAATGAATGTTTTTGGAGTAACCCTACTTTACATTTTCTTGCAACTACTTTACTCAAATATAAATGTCGCATTGCTGTAAGCAAATAAATAAAAACGGTGCATTTTCACGCGAATGCGCTATTAAAATGAAGTAGTAACGATATTATTTTGACATGATTCCCCACAAGGATAAAATTAAGGCAATGTAACTTTTGTAATTTCAAATCTCATGGGACAGAATCACAATTGCCTAAAAAATCAAGATCCATCCAATTTCTCAGTCTAATAATGTTCGATTGATCCTCTATGTTCTTTACTCTGTTAAATGAAGTAGGCAGATCTTATCAGTGACGCATTGATAACAAAGGGAACCAAGGTCGCTACTGTCAACTAGGCAGCCTTGGTGACTTAATTGACCTCTGCAAAACTCTGTACCCTGTTATGAAACCTTTTATGTAGTTGATGACATGTAAATGTGTCTATTTTCAATGTGGTACTGTATTAAAAATCATTTGTCGCAAAAATGAGGTCACATTGTTTAATTCGCTATTTTCAATAACAAACTTTTGTTAAGATCGGGTACTGTTTTTATACTGATAAAGACTAACCTTTTATCTCTTATGTAATGTTTTTATTGCAAAATAATACACTGGGAGATTGATTATTCATTGTGAATTTTGGACTGGTGATGCAAGATACGTGATAGGTACACATCAAGACTATGTACTTGTACTATGGTTTATTGTTGCCTCGTGTATCATAGGACACATCTATCTCTGTCTTAGTTCCATAACCATTGCTATTAGTCATGTTTATTGTTTTAATTGGTTTTAATTGAATATAATTAGCCTACCGGTGTGGTGGTTAAAATGTAATAATACAAAAAGAATGTATTGTATGTAGATGTTTTAGATTTCTTTAGAATAGTATATTTCATAACAAGAGTAGAAAGAGAGTCATTTTATATTTGATACCGGTACCAATCGAGCACTTTAAATGGTCCAAATTATGTATAGACCCACTTTCACTCGTGTTTTGAGCATTATTTTTCGCTACACTACAAAGACTAGCGTAATTATTTTCTTAATTAAAACAGACATTGACAAAACTCATAGCACTTTTAGTTTATGCCTTCAATTTACTTTGGTTGTACAGTTTTGGTTGTTGAAAATTGAGACAGTTGACTAAACAATAGCAAATCTTAGTTTGTTTACATTGGCAAAATCCAAATACGATAATAAACATTACTTTCGCTTGGTAAACATTCTTTTGCCACAGTAAACAATGTAATGATGCATTTTCGCAGGTGATAAACATGTAACGAAAAACAGGTCATTTCACAGTAGTGTAGCGAACAATTTGTTTTGTTAAATACTTCCACTATATTTGATGGTTTAAAGTTATTTCATAGTTGTATCTTATGTTTGCAGGTGCCATTACAAGTGATGTGTTGAACCTAGTGTGCCTCGCTCGTAAGAGAACACTCGGCCCCTTCAGTCCCAGCTTCAACCTGCAAGATGTTTTGGCTGAGGGCCTTAGAAAGGTAAATTGATATCATTATAAATTCTTTAACCGAAATAACTATGATAACCTCCACTGTTTTTGAGATTTATTAAACATATTTACTGTGTTGTTAATGGGGAATGGTGATTACCTTGGAAAAGTAAATAAACACTGATTTTTGAGAAAGGCAAAAGGAAAATTCTATATAATATGAATACTTATTCAAAATATTAATTTGGTGGACATTTTTCATTGATCCACTTGGAAAAAGTACCCAGTGGAGAGTTGTTTGTGAATATATTAAACTCTAATGCAAGTCTACATGTACCATTTGTTCCAGAACCTGCCAGACGACGCCCATTTGAAGGTCAGTGGCAAGCTACATATCTCACTCACCAGACTGCCAGGGTTCAAGAATGTCATTGTCTCCAAGTTCTACAGCAAGGAAGACCTCGTCCAGGTAAAAACCATTGTATATACTAAGTTTTAACAACGTCTATCTACATACGGTATATCTATTTACGTTTATTTTTAAAATCTTATCGCGCCACTCCTGAATGCAGCAAATATTGTTTCGTTCATTTCAGGAGATGAACGGTTGACCCTTAATTTAATAAAAACCTGTGTTCATGCATATTTACAGCCTCAGATTTACAAGTTATCTGGAAGGATTATTGGTTCACACATAAAGTGCTCATTTTTATTTTGTAATGATTCAACCAAAAAGACACTTGTCGAGCTTTGAGCATTTACAGTTTTGATTTATGGGTTGATCTTACCTTATCAAACTATCCTCAACATGTGAACTTGAAGTAGATAAAACGCTTCAAATTTTTTAATGATTATTCAAGACCCTGCTGATTGACTAACCTAACCCAACGTTACCTAAACTGTGGTTTTCCACAATTGAAATATGTAGCAAGACCCAAATGTAATATGGTAATTAACTATAACACTACCTTCCCATTTCATTATAATTTTGTGTAACATACCAAACCAAAACGAGGAACAAAATATTTAGGTACAAGTTAGCGGCTGTTAGCCTATCCGTCTACTGACTGCAGTGCCGTTTGACTAACTGTAGCTTTTTGTTTTGTAGGCCCTGCTTGCCAGTGCATTTGTGCCGTTCTTCTCCGGCTCTCACCCACCAAAGTTCCACGGAGTGTATTACATGGACGGAGGGTTCAGCAACAACCTGGTGACTCTAGATGAGAACACCATCACAGTCAGTCCCTTCTGTGGCGAGACGGACATTTGTCCTCGGGACACTTCCTCCCAGCTCTTCCACGTGAGTAACCGGTCTTTGTCTTTACAAACATTAACTAAGTGAGCGATATAGAACTGTTTATATTATATTTCAACTAGCTTGTACCCGCGGCTTTGACTATTGATGCAACTAGACATCCCCATGTAAAAGATATAGCCAGTTTTTTAATCGCAATCGTCATAGTTGACATGTGAGCCACTGACAGATTGTACTGAAATAAATTACCAACTTCTGTTGAATACACAAACTTTAAGTTTTACGGAATGACCTATTATGAGTTTATAGCAACTAGTATGCCCTATCAACTTTGTCAGCAACAAAATATAGGCCTAAGGTAGAAAATAGAATTTTACACACTAGCACATTCTGTGACTGGCTCACACAACTATGTTCTTTTTTTAGTAATTGGTGACAGCTGGTCCATATAGATGAGGGAAACGTGTACAAAATCACTCAACCATCCATGGCGTTCAAAGGGTTTAATTTATTCTTTTTACACTCTAATTATTTAAAACAGTTAATTAAAATATGAAATGATAAAATGCCATTAACTCTGCCAAATATTTTCAGGTAAACGTAGCCAATACAAGTATTGAAGTTTCAAAGCAGAACATCTACAGGTTCGCAAGAATTCTGTATCCTCCAAATCCAGAGGTAAGTTGCAGCATTAACTTAGTAGATAAAAACTAGAACTAGTCGATTTTTCTTATCCCAAAATCTGTGATTCGTTTTGATTTGCGTTTTATGCGTTTTGAAATAATTAAATGCCCGTGATATTCTTAGTTATTAGAGCGTATGATATTGTTTTATTTTTCTGTTAATTTATTTCTTTTATACCAATTGGTGTTTGTTTTTTTATCAGTGAGATTATAACTTGGCGAGTCTGATGTTGACATAACCTATTTTATTATGATTTAATTAATGGTAGAATAAAGGACTAATATTATGCCAGGTAACATTAGTAACATGATATTGAATTAAATTATTTATCTTATCAGGGTGTCTAGTAGTCGGGAAAATCGGGAAAGTCGGGAATTAGTATTGAATTTCAAAATGGTCTTGAAAAGTCGGGATTTAGTCTTAAATTTGATTTCGAAGTCGGGAATTTTCATGATTTTGCCGCGATCGTCGTCTTGCGTTTACGTAACCGCAAAAGCCAATGATGATGTCTACACGGCCTCGGGAAATGTTCACGATTTTGCCGCGATAGTGGACGACGACGATGACGTTTCCGAAACCACGAGAGACGACGATGACGTTTCCGAAACCACGAGAGACGATGATGACGTTTCTGTGACAGCGGGAGACTACGATGACGTTTCCGTGACCGCGGGAGACAACAATGATGCCTACACGGCCGCGGGAAAGGATCATGATTTTGCCGTGATCGCGGACGACGACGATAACGTTTCCGTGACCGCGGGAGATGACGGTGATGTCTAAACAGCCGCGGGAAATGTTCATGATTTTGCCGTGACTGCGGGAGACGACGATGACGTTTCCGTGACCGCGGGAGACAACGACGATATCTGCTCGGCCGCGAGAAATGTTCATGATTTTGTCACGATCGCGGACGACGACGATAACGTTTCCGTGACCGCGGGAGATGACGATGACGTTTCTGTGACCGCGGGAGACGAGGATGATGTCTACACGGCCGCGGGAAATGTCCATGATTTTGCCACGATCGAGGGAGATGACGATGACGTTTCCGTGACCGCGGGAGACGACGATGATATCTGCTCGGCCGCGGGAAATGTTCATAATTTTGTCGCGATCGCGGACGACGACGATGACGTTTCCGTGACCGCGGGAGATGACGATGACGTTTCCGTGACCGTGGGAGATGACGATGACGTTTCCGTTACCGCGGGAGACGACGATGACGTTTCCGTGACCGCGGGAGACGACGATGATGTCTATACGGCCGCGGGAAATGTTCATTATTTTGCCGCGATCGCGGACGACGACGATGACGTTTCCGTGACCGCGGGAGATGACGATGACGTTTCCGTGACCGTGGGAGATGACGATGACGTTTCCGTTACCGCGGGAGACGACGATGACGTTTCCGTGACCGCGGGAGACGACGATGATGTCTATACGGCCGCGGGAAATGTTCATTATTTTGCCGCGATCGCGGACGATGACGATGACGTTTCTGAGTCCTCGGGAGACGACGATGATGTCATTGATGTCTACAAGGCCGCGGGAAATGTTAATGATTTTGCCGGTTTTCTGTAACCGCTGCAGTCAATGATGATGTCTAAACGTACGGTACGTGGAAGATTTTATGATAAAAAAAAACCAAATTTGCTAGTTAGAACTTTTTATTGCTGCATTATTTCTTTACTTGAAAACACCACATTATCATAATACTACTTTATGACAAAGACAGGGGTTGGTGTAGTATTATTCAGAAAATTTGGTTAAGCTATAAAAATTGGTAAATTTATCGGTATCAAGAATCGAGAATCGATACATTTTGGTATCAACACCCACTAATTGTTGAAAAAACTAGTCTTGAGAAATCTGGAATTAGTCTTGAAAAGTCTGGAATTAGTCTTGAATTTTATAATGGAAATAAACTAGACACCCTGCTTATTCAAAACCCGTTTGAGATACTTTATACTTTGGCTAGGGAACAAGCAAGATATTCATCGTCGTTCTTCTTTGTCGTAGTTATGAAGTTTATAAAATATTATATAAATCTTGGATATAAACACATTCAAGAAAATATCCTGCATAACCATATCTTAAATTTGTCTTCAGCAGATCTATAATGGTCTATTCTTATTAACAAATTCTAAATATCTCAACCTTAGCCGTATCTTGACTTAGCCTTGGTTGTTAAACTTGAGCACATGTCATAGTGTTAAAATATAGCACAGCCTCTATTAGTTTTTCAAGCTTACCATGACATCTATATCATTAGTTATGTGGTTTACAGGTCCTGACCAAGCTGTGCATGCAAGGGTTTCACGACGCTCTCAGGTTTCTGCAGTCCAACAACCTCATCAAGTGTGCGAGGTACATTGCAGTGGAGTCCACGTTCCAAATCTCTGCCAAGTATGAGGATGAGGACGAGGCGGAGCACGACCCCGAGTGTATGGACTGCCTCTTACAACGAGAGGTACGACAAACACTGAACTGGCGTATTATAACTTCACCACACCACTGTTTTACACTTTTGGATTCCTAATCAGGGGCAATATACAGGGTTATTTTTGGTGAGCGATGTTAAAGTAGAGTCTTGATTGTCTGAATGGTCAGTAAATCTGTAGTAAGTTAATTCCTGTATTCCAGTATCTTCTATTGAACGGTTTAAGTGAGTCGGTGGCTCATTTAGTAGGTTGATGAATTGTGAAACCTAAGCAGAGATGGGTTCACTTAAATGTGTTCCGATGTTTCTGCTTAACATTTACCATTACAGTTGATTATGGTATTGTACCAATTCACCCCTTGCATATACATGGAGAAAAGAGACTGCAAGCCTTTAAAAAATGCTCTGGTTTTAACTCTTCATCAGCGACACAATAAACTTTCCTCCGGGGGAATTTGTTTTATGAAATGAAAAAAAAATATGTGTTATCGCCAGCCGACAGTTTAAGAGTAAGTTCCTCTTTATAGGAACCGATTGAACATAATTTTGCTCTCACACTTCCCCTGCACAACCCCTTTTAATCAGTTAAAGCCTTAAGAGTCGCGTAGCAAGGATCCCGGCTCAGTGTGTCACGCCTCGCACAGTGGATTCCAAAAGTGTATTGTTTTTGTTTACTATCGATTTTTTTAAAATATGTGATGTAAGAGTTTTTAATTATTTCATGTACAATTGTATTGATTATACAAGGTATTAATACACTTATGTAAAAATTACAATTTTTCAATACCAGGAAAAAACTCCTTTAATGTCACCGATCGATTGTTTAAAATCAAAGACACCCTTGAAGGGTTAGGAAAAAGAATGCTTATAACTGGTAATATTCATTAAATTTCTCGACTAAATATTTGTTTACTATAGGAGGCTCAGAGTGCCACTCTGCCAGAGTCTATTGCCCAGATTTTCCACGATGCCACAGAAGCCACTACCAAGGGCCTGGTCAACTGGCTGTACCAATACAGGGGCATGAAGATCCTCTCATTGATGATGTTGCCGTACACTCTGCCGTTCGAGATAGCTTACGCAGCCTTCAACAAACTGTTCATGCCCAAGAGCTTCCTGCAGTTCTGTGAGTTCATCATGGACCAGCTGGAACATTTCCTCAACATCAAGAGCGAGCCAAGCACGGAGTGTGTGGCCTGCACCTGCCAGCTGACTGATGCCACCTACTGTGGAAGTGAGTTCTAGTGTATCTAACAAGTCTTATTCAATTGTTTCAATGTAAAATTTCCATATCAGCTCTGACTCGTCCTTTATAGTGGATGACCCGGGTTTTGGCTCTTGTTAAATCATAGTCTATGCATAATAGATCAAATCTCATCCTGTTTATTACACTCCCAACACATAAAACACAACATAGCGGCAACTAGGCCTAGAATTTAATACTGCAAACGATCAACGGGCAATGGGAACGGTCAGTAACAGTGTACCCATTAGATTTGCTGTGAGATGGAGTATTTCATAGGGTACTACTATGATTGTTTTGTGAAATGAAAGAAGTAAGAAGCAAGTTCTCCTTTCAGTCTGGCTCGTAAAATATCGGTGAAAGAAATAAATCTTTGATTGACAGATAGCAGCACAGTCAGCACAGTCAGTATCTTGCCAATTCAACTGCTTGTTTTCTTCCTACACATAAAGTTTTGGCTAAAACTTTACATGGGAATGTAAGAGTTTTTGGCTTAAATACCAGCAGCTCTTTTAATTCATCAAGATAGGTTTATATGAGTAGCCTACGGTAATTAGTTAGAGTTAGAGGCATACTTAGGCTTGTGTTACACCATGACCAATTGTGTAGATTTACTTTTTGAGCTTCTATGCCAAAGAGTTTTTTTGTTAGAGCTCACTGCTGATTTGGGATCGTCTTGGTTCTATCCAACATCTGTTTGCTACACTAACAAACCATCAATGTAGTTGCCAAATTAACACTGGGAAAGATTTTTCAATTTTTAGGAGACAATTTTTGGAGGCAGGGAAAACAATACTTCAAACATATTTAAAAAATTAGTTAAGGTTGAATGCCTCTCAACTATTTTTCAATATCTTGAAGGCTTTATTTTTATGTCCTTAAAAGTAAGCAATTCCGTAGAAAAAATCTTTCTGTCCTACTATGCTGTCTCTTGTCTTTCCAGTCTTTTTCTTTTGATTATTATCATTCAGCACAATTTTAATTTAACCTCCAGCCATATAAATTGCAATCTAAAGCAGAAACACAATACGACATGCAAAAAAAATGTATTCAGTGCATTTTTGAATCCCCTAACTTAATGTTTGTTTACTTACATTTAACACAATTTTTTCCACAGTGGGATCCACAAAGGAAACTGTACCAGACACAATGCTTCATGCCAAGAGTAGCAACCACTCCGGCAGTGACAAAGATCCAGAATATGACAAGGGGAAGGGCATCCACAAGCGGCCCAGTCTCAACATGGGCTCCAAGTGTGAAATCATCGCAGATGATACTTTTGAGAACATTTTGGAAGTCACGGCCCACCATGAAGCTCTTATGACGTTTTACTACATGGACGATAATGATAAGGTACGTTTATTTGAAGTACAGATTGTTTTTGAACTTAAACATTTGAAATCATTGTTTCCATTCAGTTAATTTTTTTGCCTTTAAATTAAAACAACATGAGATATTTTTTTCAATGCCGTCACATAAGGGTGCATATATGAAAGCAACGTTAATTGGCAAGAATGAGTGTTGAATGAATATGATGACAGCTCTGTTACTGACAAAAATAGCTGTTTTTTTAGTCGGGATCATTTAGTCCAATGATCAAGGACAGCTAGGTATAGTCTTAAAGTGGAGAAATAGGTCTTCCACAGGTTTTATTTTAAAAAAATATTGTATTTGTCAAATTGATTGTGTTCTTTGATGATTAAGTTATAGGTACTTGAGAGGTGATAGGTTAAGAATATTTTGCTCTCATCCTCTGTTCATTTTCTATAAATATTCTGCAATGATTCTAAAACATTCAGGTTGCCAAATTTTGTATTCCAATAGACTCGTCTAGAGTCCTTGATCTTTAATCTAAACAGTTAAGTTGTTGATTTAACCCTGTATGTTGTGTTGCAGATGAAAGTGACAGAGATCTTTGAAGTGACGGAGGCTGAGGCACAAAAGTTGGCACAAGTTGAAACCAAAGATTCTCAAGTTGACCTCATCGGGTGGTTGGAACATCAAGAACAGCAAATACAGTCAGGTGAGTCCAGTCAAGATTAGACACATTGCACTGACGTAGACATCTCATATAGACCAGCTGTAGCCAAATTTTATTGAAAAGAATATTTGAATGAACCACGTTGAATCTTCTACACTCTAAATTCTATTTCAACCCTTAGTGTTAATTTCTGTGACATGAAAGTTGCTTTAGTTGACAATGGATTGACCTTTGGGTTTGGCTTGGTTGAAAAGTTGGTGTATTCCATAGAAATCATTAATTTATGTCAGCACTTCCATTCAACCTCGAATAAGATGTCTAGTTATATCCAAAGATTAGCCCTCAAGTGGACCTACCTTACACACTTGAAATAGTAACTGTTAAAAAATATTTAAAAAACTGTTAAAAAAGATTTGGAAGTTTTTTTCAAGGTATACATGTTTAGATAGTTTACTGGGATAATTATAGACAGCAAAGAATATGTCTTGATTAACTAGTTGCAAACATGCAGTGAAGATGGTATCATTATTTAGATCTTACTCCAGAGACCCACTAATCCGAACATCTGGCTAATCCCATCCATCCGTTGTGGTAAAAGTTTACAGTTAGTATTTAATTATTAAATACAAGGTCAAGGGAGATGGTCATGTGCATGTCCGCGATTGCAGTGCAATACAATACAGTATTTGTAATTTTGCGAGAAATTATTTTGATGTTGCCATGATCTCGAGAGACAATCCCACCTAGATTGTGGGAGCAAAGAATGGCCATTTACAGTCATAAAAACACATTATTTAATTTTTTTATTCAATTTTACAGTGTTTCTGGCTAACCCGAACAGTTTTGTACCCTATCTGAACAGGGCCTAGCCCGTATTAGTTCAGATAAGAGGTACTCTGTTGTACAGGGCTGAGATTTAAATTAGAATACATTGAAGATTCAGAAGTGTGCCTTGTATGA